CGAACATATCTCGAGTGTCCTTGGTATTGGGGCTAAAAGCTGAGGTCCGCATGCAAGGAGTCCAATTCGAACTGCAGAGTACAGGGGTTCCTTGCCACGTGCCGGCAACTCTCGAGATCTCATGAATTTGTGATTATTGATACTGCCTGTAAGGTCATGGGAACACAAGATAGTACATACGAGTGACTATTAATACACAGTTTTCGGAGATGAGGACGACGGAACACGCGTAGGCCCCCAAAGTGAGTAATCGTTTGCGTGAGACTGTCGCAAGAGATTTCAAACTCACTTGGATAATGTAGCTCCTTTGTAACGTTGCACCGACGATATAAAAAGGTAGCAGCACACGGAAGCGCAAACGGGCTTCAACGTCAGAGGCGTTGGACAAAACATGCACTAGGAATTGTGTTGAGAAAAGGACCATGCTTGCTGAGTTTGGGGCTGGAGACGTCATTTGTCATATAGCGAGTTTCAAGGGCTTAATAAAGGCTCTCACCCTTTGCCGGCCTGGCTTGCTCGTTCAACTCGCTCGAATTACTACCTCTGATTTCTTACCCTCTTCTGAATCATCCTTAAAGATGCCAGCCATGACGCAGTCTTTTGACTATGACTCGGATTACGAGCATGACCATCTTCTCTCTGAGAAGAGCTTCATCATGAACGCAACACCGGAACCCCACAACCGACATCGACTGCTAAATAGATTCAGCATCGCAGTCGGTCTACTTCTCGCTTCCGCCATCTTGAACATAGCACTACTGCTTCAAGCAGTGAAGCCCGATGTTGATGAGAACCCGCCAACCAAGTACGCCCAAATGCGCCGTACGCGTGAAGAGCCGTACGTCGTGGTGACTCAATACGATTCACGTAACCAGACCTTACAGGATCAACTGTGGCATGACATCAACTTAGATGCGGCCTACGTTGCCCTCCCAGATGATTACGTAGATGAACATGAGCTTCGTAGAGCACAGCGTTTCCCTTGGGATACCTCCAAGGGACTGTATCGTGAGTCCTCATCTGCTTTAGTCTATGGCATTTTGCCATCTTTCCATCGCGGTGCTACTCAGCTAACCGCGTCAAACCTAAGTACTGCACGGGTATCATAACCTCCACTGTGTGAAGATCGTCTACCTTGCTCTGGCAGAGTATCGGCGTGGAGACACGCAGACTCGCGACTGGCGTCACCTCAGTCACTGTCTTGACTCTCTCCGACGGCAGGTCATATGCGATGCCGACGATACACCGAGGGCAACGGAGCGGCGCCCCGAGATCATCAGCGGCGTGTATCAGCACCGGATGTGCCGCCGCTGGGAGGATCTAGAGGCTTACGCTCGGAAGTACACGGCGTGCTATCAGCGCCCTGAGAACCCCGATGCTGATACGCGACCCATCATTGATCGCTTTAAGCACTGCCCGCCTGGTGTCGACTATGTGTTCAACGAGGACTACGTGGCGACCGACCCATACGTCGAGGGTCTGCCGGAAGAGTCCGTTGAAGAGTCTGTAGAACTTGTGTGAGGAACCATTCTAAGGAATTTTTTGTCTATAATGTGTGATTAAGTAGGTAGTCAACACTGTGTCCACTGCCATGGTTTAGATGTTCTCTAAGAAGTCCGTACCACATTCTAAACTCGGAGCGGCGCCATCGGATTTGCATAAGGAAATGAACAAAAAATATATAATAAGAAAGAAGAGTCTATAGCATGCTACAAACCTATAGTAGGCGTATGGCTTAAGTATGAGGACTTGATTACTAATCAATAATTTGATTAATTGGTTTTAATAAGGACGTACAGTAGAGACGCACCGTGGCTATCGCAACTCTGCTAGGTGTAGCGATCCCCGTGGGTGCCATACCCCTAAACGTGACCACTACAGACCCTATGGTACTATCTTTAAGCACCGTAGCGGAGAAAGAGATAAGGAGCTGGCAGGGTGGTTGGCGAAAACACCGAGTATTCTCGTCTGCCTTTGGTCTATGTAGAGATACACAGATGGAACAGCCATTCCAATGGCACAATCCCTCGCAATTGTCTTATAGTCTACGAAGTCCCAAGGGTTATGAAAACTAGACAGAAAAGGCTCCTACGGGGATGATATCATAGAAAGTCTCTAACGGGTTGCCAACACAGACAAACTTGAGCTTGAGCGCTGGCTAGCTGCCGATCCCGTATCCATCATTGCATCAGGCCCCATCATTGCTTCTGTTCATCATCGTCGCTTCGGGTGTTATCACGAAGCAATCAGATAAACTACGTGATGTTTCTTGATTCGTTCACACCGCAGTTGCCAACAAAGCACCCGTTTACACGTCTCCCATGGTGCTGGTATATAAGGATGAATCTTTACAACTTCGCACAGCTGGCGGAAGACAGAGGTTTTGGAGCGTGGGCATGTTGGGACAGCAGCCCAAAGTGGACGGACAAATATGTATCGGTTGCAATACTAAGAAAAGCGGATGGACGCGAACATCAGTCGTACCAAATGTGGCTAGAGTTTTTCAATTACAGGCAAAGGCCAACTCTGGAAGATATATTGTCGCTGAAGAATTCTCGAGTCTGGCCGGTGTAGGAGCTGACAGTCGAGATATGCATATACTAACTTTATATCAGACTACAACGGGCAACTCTGAAATGGACAGACTCTTACAACTGAATGCCATGTCCAGTTTGTGGAACTAGATATAAGAGACTTGAGTGGTGTGACATTTACAACATAAAGCCTACTGCATAAAGCCCTTGCTAGAGCCGCCAAAAACTAACCTTCGGCTGCAATTTTGTGCCAAGTGGCCTTTGGCCGTAGAAACAGATTCATTTCACTAGGTGCTGAACTTCGAAAATTGCTGCTGAGAAGAAGCCCAGGTTGTTCCATATCAAGTTTGCGAACTAATACCTTCCAGTCAAAGCGCTCTCAAATTGAGGTCGCTCTCAAATTGAGGTCATTCCCGTCGGATGTTGCTTGATGCGCACATTATCTGTGCGACTTGTCATCATGGTCGGGAGATGACTTCTATCACAAGGACGTTTAGACACAGCCAATGCAGGCCGTTTATCGTGAAGACGAGATTTCAACCTTCAAGTCCAATGCTCTTTGACGCGCTTACCATGCTCCGTAGCGAGCGAATTTGATCCGTTCAGTTTTGTATGGCATAGGAGGCCTCTGAGTCTTGTGTATTGTCTCGTAAATTTGGAGGCTATGTCCAGTCTGCATTTTTGTCTGTTGTAGGTGCGCTGATAACATTTAGTATGCGAGGAAGGGATTGGTTCGGATTAAGAAAGTCAAATACGTTGACCGGATCAACATGTGCGTCCGCCGCCAACTCGGGGTATGTGGGCTTGCAATGTTGATATATTTAGAAAGAAGCCACTGCAGGATGAACTTTGGCTGAGAAACGTGATCAGTGCATTCAACAAGGGCACTGCTGTCGCGCGTCCAGGATGAAATTATATAGCACGGGAGACGGGACGGAGGCCCGGAGTAGGCGTCACCAAAGGCACCAAAGACCTTCTAGTGATATCCTAACCGTCTCCCTAAGCCCGGTGGTATGGAACAACATCCGTGGAAGCCTCCGGTTTCTAGGTACGATCAGCAAGGAAGTTTCAGTTATCGTGCTTTCGTATATACTCTGCTCGCCTGACCTGCTGGGCCAATCATGTGGGTATTTGGGAAATGACGCCAGTAACACAATCCTCGTAAAGTTTGTCAACGGTCTGATTTTGAAAGCCCACGAGTTACAAGGTGGTTGGGCCAGCCTGGAACCGATTGAATCATGCAGAGGGATTATCGTCCAAATTATTCACATCTTGGTTGGCTTGGTACCCCGTAATATTCAGAACATATCGCCTACTCTTTTAGAGGATAGCAGTCGAGGTTGAGCGTTCGCATTCCGGAGCCTCAGCGTTATAGACTTTTATTCCTCCCTGACCAGACGACAGAGGGGAGCCAGGGCGGTATGGGCCTCTCACCTAGCCCACTGTGTTTACAGATTCCTCCTTCATGTCACCCACCGGCCACCGTTCCGTAATAGCAAAGTGTATGAGAAGTTCCACGTTCGTCGCCTGCGCTTTTGCTGCAAGATCCGACCCGAGTGGCATCGACGCACAATCCCCGATTTACTCAGCTGCCATGTGGACTCTGAAAATGGCCCAATATTGCTCTTCTGAGCTCCAGAGATTATACAGAACGACAGGCGAAGACCATGTTCTCGACATGGACTATGAGCAAGGGCAATGGAATCCCGACCGCATGAGCAAAGAATTCATCCGATCACTGACCGTTTTCTTGGTCCAATAATTGAAGCTGAAGCGGCTGACTTCATCATCTAGACTTAATCAATGACTTGTGCGCAGCAGGTGGTGTTATGCCACGTTAAGACTCGAGGCTAACGATGAAGAGTATCTAAATGTTCCATTGCGACGTTCTGTGGTGTGAAGGGAGTCAGTCGCACGACTCGTCATAGACGTCATTTTCAACCAAAGAGGGGACTCTGGCTACTAGGTAGCCTAATTCCAATCTCAGGTGAGCTAAACTCACGCTAACGGGCCGGTAATGGATTTCTCTGCCTCCTGCACCTAAAGTTATCGCCATCAAACTTGTGCCGGAAGGATGGGTGATCTGTCTTGTTACACCACGATATCTGCTTGTGGGCTAGAGTGAAGGCAAGATATTTTAATACTGCTACCCGTACTAAGGTTCGTGGCGAGCGGGGGCCTCGACGCTTTTAACCCCACTCAACTTGGACACTGCTGTTCCGGGATCGATCGAGTTCTACGGCTGGTTGGTCTGGTCTTCTACGTGCTAGTAAAACAAGCGTCTACCATGGCAATTCTAGTGAGTACATGCGCATGATACCGAGTTCAATGCGCGTCGTAAGTCTAGTACTTTAGATTCATGTCACAGCGTCGCCCTTTTCTTTTCTCGACTCAAAAAGTGAAATGCGTACCAAGGCGTGGACCTACTTGCTAACAATGCAACAAGTTAATTGTGTGAAAAAGATTGGGCTCCACCGGGATTCGAACCCGGGGCCTCCTGCAAACGAACGCTAGTGAGCGAACCCAAAGCAGGAATCATACCTCTAGACCATAGAGCCATTTACCGATGAACGGCAATGTCTGTAAAAATAGCTATGATCATTTGGTCGCTAGCATCATCACACTCGAGTCACTGTACCGAAGCGACAACATTCACTGGCCGTATGAGTCACCGCGGGCCGAAACTACGCAGCCCTGGAATTCACCTGCGCATTAGTTGATACATGCACTGTGCTACTCCAACCACAGGTCTATGATTTAATTATGCCGTCTCATATGAATACTCGGCATATTGCAAAGTATACTTAAAATCGCCCTGGAAAACAGTCGTCTCCAGCTGCGGCTCATACAGCGTCTGCTTGCAGCCTCTCGTGACATCAACTCCTTTGAATCGATCAGCGATCCAATCGAGCCAGACCTGTTGGCCAGCATAAAGGACCTGAGTCGAAGAAACACCTTCGTCAGTAAACCACACTCAGACATGGAACCGTGACGGGAACACAAGAAGGAAAAAAAAAAAAAAAAAAAAAAAAAAAAAAAAACGTACCGGGACATGTCCCACCCCATCGAGCAATGCAAACTCGAGCAATGCCTCGGGAACAGCTTCACAAGTCTCATTCACAGCCGCACTAACAAGCACCTCGGGCACTGAGCCGTCTGCCATGCCCTGCAACACGAGCATGGGGCCAGCGAATTGTTTCCCGCCGCTCCTCGTTAGAGCATCAAACGCAGGTAGATACCACGTGTCATTCCAATCACTTCGACTCAAATTGTACCCAGCGATGAGCTCCAGAGCGACGCTCTGACAGCCCTGGAGCTGCTGATTCGCCTCGGTCAGGTTGACGCCCTCCTCGGTAAGCCACTCGCTCTTCTCAAACTCGGGGAACACAGACTCCATCGCCGTTGAAAACCTCGCCAGTCCCTCCCCTAGAACAGTCGGTGCGTATTCCTGCGCGAAATTCGCATTATCCAGCAAACTCGTAAGCGGGCTGGCAGCAACGGTTCCTCGATATCCCTTGACCGGTTTCTTGACAAGTCGTTCCGCTGCACCCCAAGCCGCACCACCACCCTGCGAGTGTCCCATAACCACAAACTCCCGACTCAGCCTCTCCGGCCAGGCCTTCTGCGCCGCTTCGACCGCAAAGAGTATATCCCCGCCACTCGCCGGGTTCGCCCCATACTGATGCGCAATGAAGTTCCCTTCAGCGTCACCATCTAGACCGAGTCCTGCATAGTCTGGCGCAACAACCACATAACCCTGCAGCGCCATAGTATAGGGGGCAGAGAACTGATACCAGAGGTTCCTAATATGGCTTGGACCACACTCCCCAGACCAGCCTGATGTCCCGTGGCCCCACCCAATTACCGGCATCGGCTTCTTCGCGCTCGTCGCATTCTGACTGCTCCCGCAATATGTCAGGCCATCAAAGCTCTTCGCCAAGTATGGCCAAAGCACAAATGCAGAAGCCGGGATAACGGTCCCGTTGAGCGTCTCGGTTGTGAATAGGAATCGCGAAAGGCTTACGCCGGGTGGCAGGGAGTAAAGACTTGCGTTGGCAAGACTCTCAACCTTCAACACGGATCCCGCTGGGAGCCCGGCGTGTGAGGGGACATCTTTATAGAAAGGATCGAGTTGTGTGCTTGACCCGGCCCAGTTCGAGCGCTCAAACTCGAGAGCTACGAGGACAGCATCGGCTTGCTGCTGCGATACACCAGCGCCCGAGAGGATTTGTTGGGCGGAAGGTAGTCCTGCGTACGTCCCATTGAACGTGTTGTTTTGTACCGCCGCGGGAGGCCAGGCCTGCGCGTCGCTCTGCGACAGGACGCGCGAGACGAAAAGTGCCACCGATGTGGCGAGTCCTCGTCTCATGACTACGGCGCTCAAATGGGTGATCTGGGACGACAAGGATTTTGTCGACTAGTTTAAGTAAACAAGTGTTTACTGCTTCGGCGGTCTCGATGCAAGTGGGATGTCTTCACAGGGCCAGCCAAACGACCAGCATATATAGGCACAGATACTCTCATCTCGTAAATGGCGAACCCAAGTAGACTAGATATGGCGATGGATCCTCATTTCCAGCTCGTAGGCTTGCGTCATACCGTACATGAGCAAAGAGAGTGGCGAACCCTTGTCTAGGCTGGACTTCTTAGATTAGTGCTGACTTCTAGGTACTGACCGAATCCCAGGCGAACAGCATGGCTGTTGAAGCCAATGGGCACATCCATCCAACAGTGATCGGCCTTAGGAGTAAAGACTACGACCCATACACACAATGCATAAGTGTATAGTTGTGTGTACTTGCGCGGTTATAAACATCACTGACGAGTTCCCGTAAGAACGCCGGAGAGCTGAAGCAATCATGAAGCAGGGGTGTATGGTTAACGAACGCCGAGCCTGGCTCCCCGTGGGGAAGAGGTGGACACTGGAACGTCTGTAGCTAGGCAAAAGTACAGCCAGGATCTTGGTCTTCGGGTCGACCGACTTATCTCCACATGCTAATCCGTACATAGACGGAAAAACGCACCTTAATTTATATGTAGGCGAGGCAGGCTCGGCAGGATCCGTTCGACCATGCTCTTAGAAATAGACGGAGCAGTTAAGAACGGCATAGCAGCATCAGTGGACATAGGTTCAACTTCTCGTATGTTTTACCAATTAATCTCTACAAATGTTATTCAGTCGTAACGACTGCCCAGTCAAACAACGGTAGGAACATGAGATTTGATTGCAACACCAGAGGTACTAATTGGGCAATATCTCAGGGTCCATTGATGCTGAACCAGCACTCATGGAGATACAGTTGGATCAGAGGCATGTCGTAGGGTGATCAACTCAGACAAACATTCATAACATATTTCCATTGCAGTAGGTAGGAGACGGGGTATGTACACAAGACCGACCAAGTGTCGATCAATGATCAAGCACATTTCATAATCATCACACTCTCCGGGTCCCCCTCCATCCACGACCACCCTTAGCGCCTGTGAAATTGTGAAGCCTCTCACCCATAAGATAAGCCTCATCTCTGATCCTGACCTGACACGCCTCGAACAACCCAAGCAACCTCCTTATCAAAACGGCCGCCAACCAAAAGCTGGCCGTTAGTGGGTAAGCGAGGCGATACGCGAAGACTCTCATCTCATAGGGCATATCTCCTTCGCCGCTGTATCCATGGTTCAGTGCGGCCCATGCTATGACTGGCGGGGTGAATATCATGACGGCGCTAGCGATGAAGCCTGGAATGACGAATGCTCGTGTCAACACACCGACGTCTGGCTCTAACCATCCTCTCCTCAGCACGGCGCGAACGGCTTGCGCGGGACGTCCACCGTATAGTGTCAAGGCGCGCGAACCAAGCTTCAGATATAGTATTCCCAATGTCCATGCTTGTATGACACGGATCGTATGACCCTCACGGAGACCATCGAGCCTGAGGGGGCTTTGCGTGCCGATGGGATACATGTACGTGTGCAACGGCACAAGCACGTAGATCTCCACCAATACAGTGACCAATATGGGAAACACCACCAGTAGCATAGTGTAAGTGTACGCCAAGTCCCAGGCGCGATGGCCAAGGTGGAGAGCGCGCTGAAAGGCATGGCGGTCGAGGAGCGAGTCGACCGTACTGGAAACCCATGTCTTCAGGTGCTCAAGCGCAGAATGGATATGAAAGGCGAGGTAAAAGGCGGAGCCTAAAACATATATCCCTATGCTGAAGGCGTAGATGTCGTTCGTACGGATGTGGGCAGGGATAAGGGCTTTGAACACGCGACGTCCAAACACCAAAGGCAGGATCGTAAAGCTGACGCCTGTCGCTGCGGCAAAGATCCAGATCGAGAAAATGAAGACAAAAATGCGCAGACGGAACCAGGGTGGTATATAAACGACCTGATAGTGGTCATCCGAGTGTAAGGTTAACTCGGTAGCACCAGAGGGTCTCTCTTGCCCCAGGCGTTCTTCCGGTACATCGACGAATACTGGCTGCCCTTTGGGAATTTTGACCTGATCAGAAGCTGGTGAGCGGACGAACCGACCACTTGTGGCCAACTGTCCCGACTCCACCAAATGGCGTTTCTTTAAGCTCGTGAAGGCCATCTCCTTATTCCCAATTTTCGTTGACGGCTTAGCCTTGCCGCCTTCGAAGAAGGAGGTCCATGTCTTTGGCACTACCTCGATATTCTCATCGACCTCGAGGAACATTGTGCGCCACCAGGCCAAATTCCGCTTCGGGTCTGCCGTCAACTTGCCCTCTTCTTCAATTCGCCGTTCCCCAAACAAAAACCACGTGAGGCGCAGAGCACTGGCACACTTGCGGAACCACCAAGTATACATAGCATGCAATGCGTCACTGGGCTTGAAGAACTTGACAGCTAAGGGCATCAAAAAGTTGTAAAATAACAGGTCAATAGGGAATTCCAACACCGGCTCGTTAGAGGAATAGTGGATCGGGAGAACGTGGGGAAGGGTGAGAGATAGGCCCCATACCACTCCGCCGAGACAGATGACGACGAGGGCCCCGTAGACGAACGCCGAAAACAGTATCTTGCGAAGCTGCGTGGTAACGTTACGTTCAAGCACATCGCGTACGGGATGGAATTCGGGATCGTCGGGATCGCGGATGAAGTCTAGCCACGGGTTAGCGGTTGTTTCAGGGATGAATTTCCAGGGAGGTCACTCACAGAGCACTCCTTTGCGCATGATCTTCCGGCACATGCTCACGAATAGGGCAAAATGGAACATGTAACCGGTCCCGACAAACCAATGGACAAACATGGAGGTGAGTGGGTAGTGGTACGTAAAGTACAGACGGGATTTGAAGCTGGTGCTTTCGAAGAGCGGAAGTAGGGCGAAGTCTAGGAGCAAGCCGCAGTATAACGGGAAAACCAACATCTCAATACTAATGATCAGTATGACTTTCATAACACCGCTGGCCTGATTCAAGCCATCGATGACGGAAGCCTCCCATTCCTGGGCTGTCTGTCCAGTGGAGAACGGTGTCCCTCTTCTTAAATATAGAGCAGCAATGAATATGATGGTGGCATAGCCCAGAATAATAGC